AAAAACACTGAATAAAGCAATTCTATTTTATGCAATTCTACTTCGTTCTCAATAGAGAAAGCTATAGGCGTATGGAGTACAAATGATAAATGGGCAGACATGCAGATGAACATCCAAATAATAGCATACTTTAAGGATTTCAGCTAGCACTAGTCTGCAAAATATTTCTCTGATGTTTCATTGCAAGTTCTAGAATGACATTAGCATGATTATACACAGTTTAAGCATGAAATTTTAATCACAAAATTTTGAAAAAAATCTCCTGAAAGTGAGAAAATCGTATTATAGTCTGCACATTCAGGTTCTGCAATGGTTGAGGGATGCAAGAACAACTGTTTGATCAGACTGCCAAACATCATCTTAGTTGAAAAGGGAGGGAAGATGGAGGAGTGGACTCTGACTGTGAATTGGCATGGAACAGCAGTGAGAAAGAGAGCGTTTGATCTCTCTGCCTGTTGTCCAGTGGACAGGCTGAAACTGGTTCCTGCCATTGATCATTGATCACTCTTGCTACACTCTAAACCTTCAAGAAATGCAGTGTAGTCTATGTGACATCTTGCCACCTTGGCAAAGAGACATAATTGAAACAGTATTCAAATCCTTCGAATTTGACAATGCCAATTATACAACTGTCAACAGGTCTTCCTTGATGAGTTATTAAAATGAAAATATGATTAAAATATGTTCTTTTCATTTTGTCCTTTCTTCCAATGTGTAGAAAAAGACCTCTTTTCTGCACATCAGGGAATATTACATTTCTATTTTATACACAGAAGAAATGATTGCATACCAAATAAACGTGGGTCATCCATACCAAAAACATGGAAAAATTCTTTTATCTTCATGTATAAATACATTTTATTTATATTGCTTCAATTTTAAACAAAATTCCAACAGTATTACTAATGGTAAGCTAAAACCTTTTTCTAACCCAGAAGCAAAAGATGTGTTTGTTTTTGTGACATTAACAGTACACACCAAAGTTCACTGTCACTGATGAGTCACATTTTGCTAACGGCTCATGTCCAATATTTAAAATTTTAAAATAGCATTTTAACTACTTTTTAGAGAAAATTCAATTATTTCTCCAGGCCACAAATATGCAACCGGTACTGACTTCCTGTCTATGAATTCAATCCCACCAGCTATGAGTTAGAGTGTGATCAAATCCTGCCTGATCAAGTTTCACAAGAGATCACTCACCAGACTTCAGGAGTTGGAATTCTGAAATATCTCCAGACATCGCAAGAGCTGATAGCATGCTGTACACGGGGTGATGTTTCTTGTTATTTTAATTAGATATATGTAAAAATACCCCAGACTAATCTTTACATTAGCAAAGACATTAGGAGATAGACAAGACCCATTGGATCATGCAAGCTTGTTCCTTTCTATACATTTTTTACTGTTTTCCCAAGAATATTTTGAAATACCTCAAGGCTAGAGCATTGACTACTTCATGAGAAGACCATTCCAGAATCTCACCAACATCACCTCTAGGAGTATGTTTCTCTTACTTCTCAGTTTATTGGTTTCATCTGCTGCACTCACGCAATAACACATCTTTCTCATTACTTATACACCTCAAAGACTTGCTGTCTGCACTATGTGTGGCCACATACAGTAGAGCTATTCAGGAAGAACAGGTAATTGTTTCATTAGTGCTCTGCTTTGTGCTAGTTAAGTAAAATGAAACTTAACATTTCATATACACAATAGTCCTTTCACAAAGGAACTGTGATGCTGTGTAAGTTCTTATCTCATTTGAAGCAACAGGAATTACATTAGCAATAAAACATTGTGACGCGCAATCCTATATATACACATGAAATACCATAGATGGTAAAATATATATATTTTATATATATATATTTTTATATATATATAAAATATTTTTTATATATATATATTGATATATATATCATTTTCTGGAAAGCATAAGCACAATCACACTTATAGCAAAGGTAAAATAGTTCTGCATATTGAAGCAACAGTATTGAAATACTTGTGCTCTGCCTACAGAAAAATGAAATGCAGGTTGAAGTGTGTGCATGTGCGTGTGCATGTGTGTAAGCTACACTGTATATGGTAACTAAATAAAATTGACAAGCAACTTGGCAGAAAAGGCCATGACATAGTTTGACAGCACAAACATATCAGTTTTACTGAAGGTATTTTAATAAAAAACAAATAATCCCCAAATGACCTTAATTTTAGTTTGTACATTCTTCCAGACTTACCAGAGACAGAACAGCAACATGCTGTGTTAAGCAGTAAAACTTTAATCATTCTAAGATTTCGGTAAAGGGAAACCCAGTGAAAAGAGGGGTTAATACATTAGAAAACAGGAATCTCAAGAGAGAAAAGTAAACCAGCAGGATTTGATATGATTGCTCCCCAAAACAGGGGAAGAGGAACATTAGTTTAGTGTAACTCCAGAGTAGGACTCCCTCCAAAGGGTTATAGAGATGTTAACGCGGCGGAAAAGATGACACCCTCTTTTCTTAATTTAAGAATACTGATACAGAAGATTATTCCCATACAGGTTCATGCAAGGTAGAACATACTCGTTCTAGTCTAGGATAAAATTTTGAAAACCTCTAGAGAATTTGAAAAAAGCTCAAAAAAGTTTCATTTTTACTCTAATCCCAAACTGAACCTTAAACTGTTAATTTTAACTAATCGCTGCAAAGTTTGTCTACTGATCTTATGTTCTGAACAACACATCAGTTTGTGTTTAGTATGAATAGTTTTATACCAAAATAAATACTTTTGCCAAAGAATTCTATCTAATGGGACATACCAAAGGGGGCCATCAATGAACCTGAGGATTAGATCTGGGAAAAACAAAATTCTTTTTCTATTATGCATTAACAGCTGGCTTTTGTAAGTTATAGTCAGGTTACTTTAATTTTTAATTCAGGTCTGGAACATTAAAAAAAATTCTCATGCTTCTGACATCCAGGGACTCAGTTTCCTGAGTTTATAGCTTTAGAGCTAAATAGTAAGTAGTGGACTAGGTTACTATAAAAAAGATTTCAGAGAACTTTTTGTGAGAGAAATGGTGCGAGAACTCGGTACTGCTACCAAAAAGACAAGTTTATAGAAGAAATGACTTAAAGATATTCTATACTCAGTCCAGATTTTTGCTCTTCTTGATTGTGAAATTAAAACTTATTTAAGCTTATTTCAACACTCATGATACTCCACACAAAAAAGGTACTTTTTATTTAGCTCATTGTTTTTTTTCCTAATGAGGAAAATTTATTTTTCCTAATGAGGAAAAAAAAACCACCTTTACCAAATGAGGAATCTAACCAAACTGCTACAAGTCCCCAAAATACTCTCTGTACCTGTCAAGGTAAAGAGCTATGTGGACTCTTGGTCATTTTTATTAGAGGAACTAAAAATCAGAAAATAACATAAAACTAAAGTAAACCTTTCTTCATAATAAAGGTTTAATGCAGTAGCAAGAATAAAATAGGGAAATGGAAAATCTCTATAGCTCATTTCTCCAAATTAGGTATTAGTAGAAAGCAACAAATGACAAACAACTCTGCTACCCAAGGACTCAAAAGAGAGTGCATAGGAAAAGATGAACTTGTCATTAAAGTTGGGAGAAAGTCTATTTGCTAGGATTGAAAAATTTAATGTCTTACCACACTAGCTTATATAAGAAAATGAAAATATTCTGTTGACTCTTTCCAGAAAGCCCATTTAAAAATAAAGCTCATCTAAAATAAAGCCCATTTAACTAAAACTTTTTCAGAGTTCAAACAACTAGAAGAGAGAAAATGTACCACTTTATGCTCTATATATGTAGGAAATACTGGCTTAAATAGATTTCAAGAAGGTTTCTATGCACATGACTTCGTCAGAATTGCTTGTGTCTTCAGCAGATATTTCTATGTTCTATGACTCGTGAAGTTCCACATTTTTTATTCTAAAAACTACATCACAGGGTCTATTTCTAGTTTAAAAGAATCAGAAATTGTTCGATTAGAACATACAGTCTAAATTAAAAAGCACTGATTTCTCAATTATTGTTGCAGAAATCTTCGTTTCTATTCAGCTAAAATAGGAATCTCTTTATTTATGACTACTCATAAATGCATCATACACCATCTCAGGGATGGAAGATTATATTTTTCTTAATTTCTATCACGTTATTAATGTCTAGCTAGACCGTCACAGTAACTACTGTTTTGCAGTATCATGGCATACCAATTACCCAAACTGGGTTGTATAACAATATTCACATTAAACAAAGATTATTTAATATTGCAAGCAAGTCCATGTTCTGAACTTCGTATCTCCTCAAGATATGTACATCCTAAAAAGTGGCACTTGAGCTAACCAGAACTGATGAAAACACTACTGTATTGGGACACTGAAAAAACTACAGCCATACTACAAAAGTTCTGCTTTCAAAATAATTGTTTGCAGAATTTGTATTATTTAAATTTTTATATTTATGATCATATTATATTTCATCATTATCAAACACTAGGAAAAGAAAAAAAAAACCACCACAAAAAATTGAAAACAAATACAGAGTTAAAACAAGCCATTCATAATATGCTCCAAAGTTAACAACTACTCGGACAAAAAACTTAACAAGCACTTTTAGACCAATGCTTAACATGCCAAATTAAACAAAATAGTACTCCAATAAACAGTTTTTACACAGTAACATCAGAAACTATTCTTTCCACTTATTTTAGTGTCTAGTTACAATTCAATGATAATTCTCTAACCCATCATATAAGCTTGCATTTAGTTCCGGATAAATTTATCATAATCCTCATCACACAACATCAACAAGTGTAATTCTGGAGCAATGTCCATAATAGCTTATTAAAAGACTTCCATTGAAATCAATCAATTTTAGAACGAACCTTCCTACCTGCCATGTATCTTCTGTCATCACTTTCTTCATTTTAACAATGTACACAATGCAAAAAAATACAAATCAGGAGTGGTTTTCAACAAAAACTTACCCTATAAAAAGCAGTTGTCAGGGGTAGCAACGCTGCAGCAATGCTATATTCTTCTGAAGATGAACAATCCTTCAAGAAAAACACATGAAGAAAATAAGCAAACACTTTCAATGTTATGCATTACAATTTCATTTTCACCTCATGGAGTCTCTCTGTTATTCTTCCTATACACAGTGTAACTTCTAATCACTTGATATCATGTACAAAGAACATATATTCATGTGTGTGCATGTGTGTGCGCATATAGGTATCTTCCCTCCATTTCTGCAAGACAGGTATAGCTATGATTCTTCTCATTTAAGGACTTTATTAGTAGCTTTCTCACTCTCATGTCTGAAATACATGAACAATCCTTCAAGAAAAACATATGAAGAAAATAAGCAAACCCACTTTGAATGTTATGCATTACAATTTCATTTCCACCTCGTGGAGTGTCTCTGTTATTCTTCCTATATACAGTGTAACTTCTAATCGCTTGATATCATGTGATTATTTCACCAACATAATATTATTTGTTTAGGAAACAATACAAAGGTAGTCTGCTTCCATTCGGGTCAACAGCAAACCTGACTAAAGTGGAAGTGATGTGATGACCAAGGAATGTACTTTCAAAAAGTTTACACAAAGAAATTGATATTTATTTAATATGAAATAATCACCTCCACAGCCTCTACAAAAGTTTGGCACGAGGCTAACATTAAAAGAAGATGAAAACCCATTCTCTTCAGTCTCAGAATGCCTCATTCAACAGTCAAGTGTGTCATTCGTGTCTCTCTCGGCTGAAAAAGGTATGCCAAAGTAAATTAACTAGTAATTGCCCTGAAGAAAATAGCAATTTTATTACGGAAGTCTTTTAAAAGAAAGCAGAATTGGAATGTAACTTAATATCTAAAAAACAAACTACTTGGATTTTTAAGACTTTTTTAAAAACATAGAACGAAAAAAAATACTCAACAAGAGTCAAAAAAAGATACTTTTCTTTCCTTTAAGTGACTAGATTTATTAGCTCTTTTTGCCAACACTGAAAAACACAATAAAGCACGTAGTTCTAACAGACCAATGTATCACCTTTGTGCCTGTGGATGATGAACCCCAAAGCAACATGTCCATTTTAACAATTCATTTCAGTATTTTTAACATTCATTCTTATAACGGGCACCCTTCAATTCAAACCACACCTCTATTAATTATCTATAACATCTGACCAAATTCCAAAATTGAAACATGTCAAGTGTTCCTCTGCCAGACATTTCATTTGTGCCTTCATTTCATCATATTAGAGTTCTCTGAAACACAGCAACTAGCAAAAAATTGGCACCAGTCAGCTGTGATAGCAGAAATATAAAATCTGCATTATAGGATCATGCTAAGGATGATTAGGATGTTATTTGCATTCATCTCAATCTTTCTTAAATGTCTGCTGAGTGATTTGAACTGCAGGCTTAAAACAATAGACCAAAAAACTCAACACAAGAGTATTTTGCTTCTCATTACTTTAAAAGTCTATGTCACCCTTTGTGAATTTCAAATAACAAACACTTCAATTTATATTACTTTAATCAAATGAGTTTTGATCCCATCTAAACAGAACACCAGTGTTCATACACAGTTAAACATCGCAGCATTTAGATAACTACTTATGTATGTATTCTGAAAAGGTGTACAGGCTTATAGATGTGACGCTTTATTTCTGCAGTTACTGAAAGCTTTAACATGCCTAACTCTGCACGACTGCATGTATGCTAACTGCACATGGAAAACAGAAGATGTTACAAGTGCTCACACTTCATAACACATTACAACCTGGCAGAGGGAAACAGTGAGAAAAGTGGACACTGAGAAACTCAATATGTTTTAATGATGCCTTTAAGTACTGTGACATCTATATAAAGAACTCAGATTAGTTTGTAAGATGTCAGAACAGTAAGACTAAAGGACATAGCCTCAGCTGCTTTTCATTTTCAATTTCTGCATTATTTCCTATTGTTATCCATATCTTAACCCCGATTTGGAATTCAGCACATGTATTTGTAGTTTAATACAAAGATATGATAAATATTGTTAGTATTTTTTCACTTAATCAGAGAACTTCCCATTTAAAATGGGACTTTACAACCTTTAGGAATGCTCAACAGTTTTCAAAGAAATAAATATTGTATTTCTGTATGTGCTTATTTATAGCCAAGTATAAAATGATCCATCCTCATTGTTTCAAGTTATCTACTTAATCCCTTAGCTCAAATTATTTGTAAGAGTTTTGGCTTTTACCCAAAATATACATAAAAATATCTTCACAAAAACTGAGCAATGTATCTTCACCTAGAGAGCATTCAATACTCCAAGAGCTAACATATGTCTCAAAGATATATATCATCACCACATAAACAACACAGTAGATTATTTTCCATTCCTTCTTGCAAGTATGAAATTCTCTACATATTCTATGTCAGCAGTATCCTCTGGACTTGTAGTATGGAGGTATTACCTATATATTATTTTTTCTTCTCCAGCATGTGACAATAAATGCAAAATGGTCTCAGTTAGGCATAAACTATAATACTGCTTTTTTAAGAATAGTGAAATTAATTCACTGTTTATCTGCTTTATAGCTGCATGATAGAATGTCATAGTTAAGAGATGTTGCACTGAAATCTTAGTTTCTCAATTTTACAGGGAAACCAAAGCACTGGAAATGTCATATACATATTGTATGCAATTAATTTAGACTCCTGAAACAAAGCAATCCAGCTACCTTATATATTATAATGTCTTTACCAATTTTGAAAAATATCTCTTGCTTCTGCTACAGAAGTATACAAATCAAATACCATAAAATAATTAAAGCTGTTTTCCTAATTTGCACAAAACAAAGCTGAAACACACCTGGGGAACAAAAATTAACTCTCAGCAAATTAATTTCCTAAAAACAATGTCTTATGACCATGAAATATATTCCATCATGCCATGTGCAGAGTAACGCTTTGAATCCATGCCTAATTGAGTGGAGACCTGGCATGTTATTCTGGCTCTACCGATCATGTATTCGGATAGCTGCTGAACTCTGTAGCAGACTGGAAGGGTTACAGTAATTCATGTGCATTTAAAATAGTTTTGCTAAACTGAATTGAGAAGTGAAAAATAAAATGAGAATGTTTTTCCTTACATTACTTACTTTGATAATATATGAGATTTACTTTTATGTTCCGCTTATTTTAAATATGCAGCAAAACTTTTGTGGTTAGATATTGTCCTTACATTGTAGGACTGACAGCTAGAAGTTACAGATTGTGACTGCTTTGATGAACGCATGGAACTGCTGATATCTGGTGAGGCATCGATGGCTTTTGGGATTTGATAGGTGGCTTAGGCTTCTGGTAGTGGAGAGGAGAGGCAACTCTTCTCCTCATTCTTGACTTTGGAACAAGCACTGACCTGAACTTCTGTTTGGAATACATGGTGGTGTACATCATCACTAAGTTGAGATGCCCTCCACAATCTAAGCCTGGCGATGAACAGCTAAGAAAAGCCAGCCCACGTAAATGTTCCTCCTTGATCTGCTACTGAAGGTGCAGGCCCAGATTCAAGAAAGCCCTTAAGCACCCTCTGACGTTTCAGTGACTACAAAAGCAAGCCGAAGTCAGTGAAGCACACTGACAGTTAAACACAAGTTTACATACATTCTTGAAGAGGCTGCAGTAAATAACAACTGATACTGATGGATTTCTGCTTTCTCTTAGTCACATGATAAAAATCTAGGAGAGATATATTAAATATCTGATAATATCTGGAGCACAATTTTCTTTTGAAATCCATCTTGATAGTATCTCTCATTAATTGCTAGTTGATACAGTCTGTTTCCTGTGTTAAACCACATTCTGCTTTGGACAGTAAGCTTTTCAAACAGACATCACATTTTTAATAATTTACAGAAATCTGAGTATCCTGAAAACTTGTGACCCAATTTTGCTTTACGTTAAGCAATACTATAAATAAAAGGAATTACCTGCAGGCCTGACTATCACATGAAATTAACATAACAGGCAGTGCATGCATTCAAACTAAAAACTAAACATGGCAGCTCTTGATCTATACTTTTTGGCAGTACGGTATGATGCATGTATGCTCTATTAAAAACACTGCTAAAGTAACCCTTCACACTGCATTGTCCCTCTGGAGAAGTATTGAATGTTGTCAATCTTCATGAAGACCAAAAGAATTCATCACCACGCAGGACTAAGCGCATAATGAATCAAGAAAAAAATGCCAGAAACTTCAAAGTCCTATGTGTTTTTAAAGCACTAAGACAAGAATTGTTCAGTCAGCTTGTGTAAGGTGACCATAAACTATGTGCAGTACATTGGCTACAAATTACAGGTGAAATATTGGTTTAAAATTCAACAGATGATTTCAGTGGTGCCAGGATTTAATCCTTATTACAGATATATTACATGGGCAGAGTTTTACTGAATCACGAAATTTTTATATTTCCAAAATATAAACTGCATCAACAATAAACTGTCAAACCTAACACACAAGACTATTCTTTTTGTATAAAGCAGTAAGAGAAATCAGTGGTCTGGTTTACAAAAAATGCTTTGTTTAAAGGAATAGGGATTCATCGTGTAGAACTGTACTGTAATTCAAAACTAGAATTGAATTTTAATGAGCCAATTTCAGAAAAATAATTCATTTTCATTAGCTAAGGAACCGAACTATTAAAAATGGTAGTTTTTATCAACAAAAACCTATTCCATGTTAATCAAATAGAGTCAAAAATCCAAGTAAATAAACCAACAATTTCACAAAGTACTGATTATAGTTAATATAATTATATGGTGCCTAGAAAAAAGGGTGAAAAAAACATAGTCTTATTTGGAATTTCCAGTCTCACTTCTAAAAGTATATAAACTACAAGTTTTAACTCCACAGATAAAGCCATCATCGGAAATAATAGTCAAAATGACATATTTTGCTGGAATAAATGCCAATATGACACTAATTATTTACATTACTTATTACTAACAGTATATAATTAACTTCAAAAGAAAGTTTGGAATCTTGTTATTGAA